GGCAGTCCAAGATGGCCACAACCAGCATGCACCATATCTGAGGGGCACAGGATTTGAAACTCCAAAGTGGGTGAGTGGAGGAGCAGCTGAAGCCAGAACATGAGCCTTGAGGCATCCTGGGTGAGAGGGGACAACCTGTGAGCTGGGACAGTTTGGATCCAGGTCACCCACAGACATCTCCAGGGCATGAAGGTGGTGAATATTCAACCCCCCTGTCCTCCCCCTTGCCCCAAGCACAGGCCTTCCTGCTCAACACAAGTGGCAGTGGTTGCCCCAAGCATGATCCTCCTCAGTCAGTGACTGAGAGGGCAGAGGCAGCTGTCCCAAGTATGGGTCTCCCTGCCTGGTGAGCAAACAGTAGACACTACTGAGCTAAGGATCTTCTGCACTCTCATTTGCCTCTGTGGGCCCAGATCTGAGAGTAGAGAACAGATGGATCCCATGTGTGTTCCAATTAGGCCTGTGAGCAAATGAGTGCACCTTTAAGTGAGCGCATGCAAGCCTCAGATCCAGGGTCCCTCTGGGCTAGCAGCCAGACATCAGATCCCTCCTACCCACACCCCCATTTTGGGCAACATAGAGATCCTTTTGGGCGGCATTCTCAACATTAAAGCCCCTGTTCTGCAGGTCCACCAGTGGAGACCAGGCAAACAATTCCTGGAACCCAGACAGATCTGAATTCCAGGATGACAATATGGCAGGCCTGTAGGCCACTGAGGCATTCAGGGTACCTGGGCCCGCACACAATGCCAGCAACCCCTCCTGCACTTACACTCCACCACTGCAGACATCTATACTCTCTAGCACCCTGTCCTTCAAGGCACACTTCCACAGAACCGCTGGCACTTGCACACATGCGCCGGGGACCTTCCTACCTTAGCTATAGCTGAAGTACCAACATCCACGCTCTAGCTCGTAGACCGCTCTCATCTTCCTGAAGAACACTCCAGACACCAGAGACAGACAGACCCAGTCTGAAGTACAGGCTCCAGGAGCAAACATCGAAGGTTATAGACAAGCAGATGGCTAGAGATCAACATAGCACACCCAAAAAAATCAGGACATCATGGCTTCATCAGCAACCACAAAAATAAATGGATGTTCTAATTCATCAGGAACAAATAAAAATGATCTCAAATCTATGCTTATACAGTTATTATAGGCACATAAAGAAAACAAACAAAGCTCTCAAAGAAATACAGCCAAATACAGCCAAACAAATAAAGGAGAAGTAGAAGAATATAGAGAGGAAATGAACAAAAAAATTGAGGCCCCCATTTTTTAATTGGATTACTGGATTTGTTGCTTCTTAACTTCTTGAGTTCTTTATATATTCTGGATATTAGCCCTCTGTCAGGGTAAAGATCCTTTCCCAGTCTGTAAGCTGTCATTTTGTTCTGATGACAGCATCCTTTGCTTCACAGAAGCTTTTCAGTTTCATGAAGTCCCATTTGTTGATTGTTGCTCTAAGAGCCTGTGCTGTTGGTGTTCTGTTCAAGAAATTGTCTCCTGTGCCAATGAATTCAAGGCTCTTCCTTTCTTTTTCTTCTAAAAAACTTAGTGTTTCTGATTTTATGTTTAGGTCTTTGATCCACTTGGATTTTAGTTTTGTGCAGGGTAATAAATATGGATCTATTGGCATTTTTCTCCATGTAGACATCCAGTTGGAACAGCACCATTTGTTGAAGATGCTGTCTTTTTTCATCGAATGGTTTTCGTTTCTTTGTCAAAAATCAAGTATCTGAAGATGTATGGATTTCTTTCTGGGTCTTCTATATGATTCCATTGATCCACCATTCTATTTCTATGTCAGTACTATGAAGTTTTTGTTACAATTGCTCTGTAGTACTACTTGAAATCAGGGATGGAGCTACCTCCAGACAATTTGTTATTGTACAGGATTGTTTTGGCAGTTCTGGGGTTTTTGTTTTCCATATGAAATTGGGAATTTTTCTTTCAAGGTCTGTAAAGAATTGTTTTGGTATTTTGATGGGAATTGCATTGGATGTATAGATTGCTTTTGGCAGGATGGCCATTTTTATTAGGTTAATCCTACTGATCCATGAGCTTGGGAGATATTTCCATCTTCTGATATCTTCTTCAATTTTTTTTTCAGAGACTTGAAGTTTTTGTTTTGTTTTGTTTTGTTTTTTCAAATAGAGGTACAGAGCTAAGCACCGAAAGATGCTAAGCAAGGAGGAGGAATCTGGGTGAGATGATCAATGCACATTCAGAAAGGCAAATAAGACAGTCATTGGAAGAGGGAGAAAACAAGGAACAGGACAGAAGCCAACCACAGAGGACCTCTGAAAGTTTCCACCCAGCAGGGTATCAAAGTAGATGCTGAGACTCATAGCCAAACTTTGGGCAGAGTGCAAGGAATCTTATGAAAGAAGGAGGAAATGCAAGATCTGAAGGGGATAGGACTTCCGCAAGGAGAGCAACAGAAAAAAAGAGAACTGGGTACAGGGGTCTTTTCTGAGACTAATACTCCAACCTAGGACCATGCATGGTGACAATCTAGAACCCCTGCACAGATATAGCTCATGGCAGCTCAGTGTCCAGGTGGGTTCCCTAGTAAGGGAAACAGGGGCTGTCTCTGAAATGAACTCAGTGGCTGGCCCTTTGATCACTTTTCCCCTCCCCCTCTGAGGGAAGAGCATCCTTACCAGGCCACAAAGGAAGACACTGCGGCCAATCCTGATGAGACCTGATAGGCTAGGGTCAGATGGAAGGTGAGGAGGACCTCCCCTATCAATGGACTTGGGGAGGTGCATGGGAAGATATAGTAAGGTACCATGGGATTGGGAAGGGATGAAGGAGGGAGCTACAGCTGGTATACAAAGTGAATAAACTATAATTCATAAAAAATAAATATTTTTTTAAATCTAAAAGACAATTCTAAATTAATATTTCAATTTTAAAAGAATGATTACTTAATGACTCCTTTTGGTACAATTATCTGAACATTTGAAATCATAATAGCTGACTCCCAGTTTATGTCAAATTAATTCTATATATATATGCACTCACAGATTTATATTTTAAGACTTCTGTATAAAACTAGATGTATATAAAACCAAACCAAATGAAAAGTGAAATGTTAATAAAGTAACACCTTTTAAAAGCATGCATAATAAAAGAGAAAACAAGTTCTGAATTTTTGGTATTATACTTTGTATTATTATAATGAAATACCTTAGGTATACCATTTTTTAAAGAAGAAAATTTCTTTTGACTCATATTCCTGGTACAAAAGAGATAGGGGCTGTAAAAATGGATAGTGCTATCAGAAGCTCAAAATGATACCAGGAAACACCAAACAAAATAAAGGGAATGAGTAAATACATAATGTCTTCTTATCTCTTTCCCTCTTATAAATCCATCAATCACAAGGCCTCCACCCTCATAGCAGTATAGTATCCTTATAACCCCCATAATGCCCGGGCTACAAGACACCCCTGTCATGCAATATCCATTCTCTTAATTTCTAATAATGGAAATTAAATGATAACACATCTCAGAGAAAGCATGTAACATGTAGGACAGAAAATTAGCTATTGTTCTTATGTGTTATATAAAATCATTGCTTTTGAAGAGATAACCACTAAGAGAATGACAGATGCCCTTAGCTGCAGAAATATTAATTATTTTGGAGAAAGTGCATAAAATATCAACTGTAACATTCTGTGATCATTTTTATTGCTTTAACAGTCAAAACAAAATTATATGTTATTTAACTGATTAACAATGGCTAGGTAACTAATATAAGACAAATTTTATATAATATGTTAATAAAATTACAGAACAATAAGAAATAGATTATACGTGGAGAAATAGACATTTCCTACAACAGTGGCTGAGTTATAAATTGACATAACCTTTGCAGAGAGTGAAGTAAGCATTACGAATTAACAGCATCCAGAAGGTCACACTCTCCTCACTTCTTCCTCTGGAGGAAACCTAAGGCAATACTCAGGAAATGCAGATGGTGTTTGATGTAACCCCTTTTGTGACCTCCCTGTAGGAGAAAAGATCTTGTGATATAATCTAATAGGAGTCATGTACTTGGGTATATTTCATTTCTCTTCTTCTTTGCTTTTTTTTTAATTTCTTGTGGCTTTTTAATTTTATAAGTCATTTTATACATTTACAAATGTTTCTAAAACCATGTGAAATGTGAATACACACACATACCCCTTTAATATTTTTAGTCTGGGGAATGGGGAGAAGGCGTCATGAGAACAGTGCTTGAACAACAGACCTAGCTCACAGAGTTCCTATATACAGCTCATGGGTAATCCAGGCTACCTGTCCCACAGGATCCCAATACACAAGCACCTTTCATTTGCAAAGAAAAATACAAAGCAATATATTAGTCAACAAAGCTGTCACCTAACTTACTACCCCACCTGAAGCTTTAAATTTCAGCTAATGTAAATCCAGGCTAAGAATGTTACTGCTTTGTTACTGCTTTGAATATTTTCAAAGAAGCAAATCCCTGTCACATGCCAATCTGAACATCCTAGGCCAGGTGAATGACTTGATTTGTGGAAATGACAAGTTCCCGAATGAAATAATCAATATCAACTTATATGGTAAAGAAATTCAAATAAATCACATATAATGTTTTGGTCTTATGGATTTTAAATAAATAGGATATTCTGAAATCCTTTCTACTGCTTTGAACAGAAACTGTATTTTTATTCTGTGTAAAGCATATAGTTTGGTAACAAGTCATATTCTCTCAGCAGGGAGACAGTAGAAATGCATGTGAATGAAGAGTAAAATGAACATTATCACTGTGTGTAGGCCTGAAGGAGTTTACTTACCAGAAATCAAGCTGTTTGGCTGACTTCAGTCTATGAAACATGGACCACTCTGGAATGGGCCAAATCACCATAGACAGTAAAGAAGTCATGTTCAAGGAAGCTCTCTCTGAGCCTGAAGAGATCAAGAAAATGTAGTACATTTTTGCAATGGAATACTACTCAGCTATTAAAAACAAAAATATCATAAAGTTCGCAGGCAAATGGATGGAACTAACCCAGACCCAGAAAGACACACATGGTATGTACTCTTTATAAGTGGATATTAGCCATAAAGTACTGTATAACCATGCTACAATCCGTAGAGCCAAAAAAGCCAAGGGCTGTGGGATGGGGCAAGGGAATAAGCTTGAATCTCACTCAAAAGAGGAAATAAAGCAGGCATCTGAAGTAGATGGAGGGAGGGAATTAGGTGGGAGGAAGGTAACAGATGTGGGGTTCAGGTAGGAAAGGGGGTGAGGGGAAGAGGGCTTGGGGAGAGAACAAAATCACTGCGGGGTGGGGGAGAAAGGTTCCTGGGAGTCTATGTGGATGACCTTCATGGAGACTCCCAGCAGCAGTGGATATGGAGCCTTGAAGTGGACACTCCTGTGTCCAGGTGGGATTTCCAGTAGAGTTAGGGGACACCAACCCACACACGATACCTTCTCCACATCCTCTCCAGCATGTGTTGTCAGCTGCGTTTTTTATCTTAGCATTCTGATTGGTGTAAGATGGAAACTCTGTCGTTTTGATTTGCATTCCCCTGATTAGTAAAAACACTGGGCATTTCTTCAAGCACTTCTCAGCCATTCGAGATTCCTCTGTTGAGAATTCTGTTTAGCTCTGTACCCCAATTTTTTAAAATATTTTTTATTATTAATTACACTTTATTCATTTTGTACCCCCTATAAGCCCCTCCCTCCTCCCCTTCTGATCCCACCCTTCCTCTCCTTTCTGCATGTATGCCCCTCCCCAAGTCCACTGATAGGGGAGGTCTTCCTCTCCTTCTTTCTGATCTTAGACTATCAGTTCTCATCAGAAGTGGCTGCATTGTCATCTTCTGTGGCCTGGTAAGGCTGCTCTCCCCTCAGGGGGAAGTGATCAAAGAGCAGGCCAATCAGATTATGTCAGAGGCAGTCCCTCTTCCCATTACTATGTAACCCACTTGGAAACTGAACTGCCATGGGCTACATCTGTGCAGGGGTTCTAGGTTATCTCCACGAATAGTCCTTGGTTGGAGTATGAGTCTCTGGGAAGTTCCCTGTGTTCAAATTTTCTTGTTCTGTTGCTCTCCTTGTGGAGTTCCTATCCTCTCCAGCTCTTGCTATTTCCCACTTCTTACATAAAATTCCATTCACTCTGCCCGACAGTTGGCCATAAGGTTCAGCATCTGCTTTGATAGTCTGCAGGGCAGAGGCTTTCAGAGGTCCTCTGTGGCAGGTTCCTAGGTTGTTTCCTGTTTTCTTCTTCTGGCTTTCAGAGGCCCTCTGTAGCAGGTTCCTAGGTTGTTTCCTGTTTTCTTCTTCTTCAGATGTCCCCAGTTTTTAATTGGATTATTTAGTTTGCTGGTGTTCAATTTCTTGAGTTCTTTATACATTCTGGATATTACCTCTTTGTTGGATGTAAGATTGGTAAAGATATTTTCCAAATCTGTAGACTGCTCTTTGATAGTGTCTTTTGCTTTACAGAAGATGTTAAGTTTCACAAAGTCCCATTTACTAACTGTAGAACTTAGAACCTGAGCTATTGGTGTTCTGTTTGGGATGTTGTCTCCTGTGCCAATGAGTTCAAGTCTCTTACCCACTTTCTCCTTTAACAGATTTTGTGTATCTGGTTTTATGTTGCAGCCTTTGATCCACTTGGACTTGAGTTTTGTGCAGGGACATATATATGGATCTATTTGCATTTTTCTACATGTAGAAATCAAGTTAGACCAGCACCATTTGTTGAAGATGCTTTCTTTTTTCCATTGTATAATTTTGGCTCCTTTGTCAAAAATCAGGTGTGTATAGGTGTATGGGTTTATTTCTGGGTCTTTGATTTGATTGCATTGATTAACCATTCTATTTCTATGCTTGTACCATGTATTTCTGTATTACTATTGCTCTTCAGGTCAAGTGTGGAGATACTTCCAGAAGTTCTATGCTTATATGGGATTGTTTTAGCTATTCTGGGTTTGTTTTTTGTTTTTCCATATAAAGTTTATAATTGTTCTTTCAAGGTCGTTTCCCTGTGTTTCAGCTGCATTAGAGTATCCATTGTTTTTTAGGATTTCTGGAGGAGCCATGATGTCGTGGGTTTTGTTGATTGTGTTCTTAGGCTGGCCTTTAGCCATCTGGTTGTCTGTTGTCTTGGCTGTTTGTACCTGGAACCTGCTGGGATTCTTTAGCCTTTATGATTAGGTCTTTATCCAAAGTAGAAGAGCTGCAGGGAAGATTAGATCCGCCCATCTCTGGAGTCTGGAGTAGTCTTCTTCAGGATGGTGAGATAGGTCTAGGGAAAAACAAATGGGTGCTGGCATTCTGGATGCAGCTGCGCTTCGGTGGGCGTTTCAGAAGGCAGGGTGGGGGCATGGGTGCACAGGGGCATGATTGCGCACAGGTGTGGGTGTCTCAGAAGGTCGTTTCAGGAATGCTGGTCTCTCAGGAGGCAGCCGTGAGGAGTGTTTGAATCTGATTGTCTTCAATGCCCAGGATGTCCCCTCCAGACCAGGAAGCACCAAATCAATACTTTGGATCCAGCCACCTGTTTACTCACCAGTCTCACAAACTCTGATCTTCTGCCCCTGAGATACGGCACAAATCTTGGTACCTGATATGGTCACACATTTTAATATTTGACAACTCCAAGTGGTTTTGAGCAAATAGAATATTTAATTTACTTCCAGTCGTGTTGTAGATCGGTGCTGCTTTGCATCCAACTGTGAGAGAGCATGTAAAATCAGAATGCAGATGTGCACATGTGGACATGCACACACATACGCACACACACGACATTCTCACACTCACTCCATCTCTCAGGTCCTTCTCTCTAGATTCTATACAGCTGAGAGAAAATCACATGTGTTAGAAACCATGCGCTGCGTAGTTTTTGTAACTGCATAGTAGGGAAAACACTGTAACTGTATTTGGGTAGAATTAGACATCAAAGCATGTTCAGGTGATAGAGACCTACAGAAGGGGTAACGAAGGAGAATCTACGAAGATTCACCCTAAAAATTTATACCCTAATTATTCCCAAGCAACCTGGGAAGTCATCCTAAAGAATCAGTGGCTTTTTAATGAGAGAAAAAGTTTCACATTCTAAATTTTGGGGATGTAAACATTGCTTATATTTTCTCATTTATTTTTCCAAAGATCTTTCTCAGAAAAGATCAGATCTGTTAACTCAGACTATAAAACTTGAATGAAAATCTGATAGTGTGTTGTTTTTTTTCTGCCATTATCGTTTACATATTATTAGAAAAATCAAGGTTTGATCTATAATAAAGGAATGGCATGCATTAACAGAGAAACGTAGGCAGTGTCTTGGAAGGTGCCGAACAAATTGTTCCCCATGTGAGGTGAGGTGTTCCATTATAAGTATGGGCTCTTTATAGTTAGTATTCTGAAGGGAGAGGAAAAAAACCTACCTCAAATACCTTAGAAATGAAGAAAGGGGACCACCACAGGTGGTAGAGCAAAGACAGAAAAGAACAATGAAAGAACTTTATAGGGCCACATTTCAACAAATGGCATGATGATGTTTTCTGGGTTAGTTTTTACTGACAACCTAGCACAAACTAGAGTCACCTGGGAAAGAGGAACATCAGTTGAAGAATTTCCTCAACCAATCTGGCCTGTGACCATATCTGTGACAGACTGTCTTGACTGGTGATTGGTATATGAGAATCCATCCCACTGTGCTTGGCACCATCCCAAGGCAGGTTGCCCTGGGTTGTATAAGAAAACCAGCCGAGCATAAGCCAAGGAGCAAGCCAATAAGCAGCTTCCTCCCTGATTTCCTCTTCAGTTCCTGCTTGAGATCCTTCCCCGATGTCTCTCAACAATGGAGTGTGACTTGGAAAGTAGCGCATGTTCTTCCCGAGCTGAGCTGTTTTTGGTCGGAGTGTTTTTATCACAGCAACTGGAAACATACTAGAACAGAAAATGGTATTGATATGTTAATTTGCAGCCCAAAATTATAGAAATCAATTTGTAATTGATTTGTCAAAAAAAAAAAAATCCCAACATTGTTATGATCCTGTTATTGTCACATACTTGGAAGCTATAGATAGAATAGAGTTACTATGATCTCTGTAGGCTTAAATACACTGCTTAATGCAAGGCTTGTTTGTTTCAGAAGGCAGAAGATTGGTTATTTCCCTATGCAGTTACTTTCTACGGCTATTTAGAAACACAGGGAGAGTTCTGGAGCAATGCAACCTGTACGATGTTTATTCTGTTACAAAAATGCATAATATAACAGTTAATTTATTATAACAAAATCTTTATGTTTCTTTCTTTTAATAGTAAGTTGACGCTATCCTAACTTTGAGTCTGAATTTTTATGCAATGTGATAAGTTAAAAGCCTAGGTTCATATTTTAGCAAATTGCTGTTTGTCTCCTCACTTTCTTGTTCTTTCTTCCCTGACCATTTCACGGTTTGTATGTAAAGCTTCCAATCTCCCTAGAGCCTATACATTACTCAGCTTCAAAATTAATCACACACAAACAGACAAAATTATTTCACATTTAATAAGTGAATTTTCAACTTACATAACTTGTCCTACTTTATTCAGCAATGTCCAAATTGAAGCCCGTGGGCTGCTTATGTCCTAGGACACCGGTGTATGTGGCCCAACATGAAATTATGAGCTTACTTAAAACATTGAGCTTTTGTGTAATTTTTGTTGAAATTCAGTTAAGTTTCTTGAACATGAATATTGGAAGTGATGTCATTTAGCAATATCAAACATAAATGTGAACATACCTTCATCACACATTGTGTTCTTAAATATCATTGAGAAATTAACTAAGGAAGTTTTAAATTTTCTGTGATTTCTTGAAGTAAAGCTAAGCCACATGAGCACATTTGCTCAAATTTCTTAGAATATTATCTTGCTTTCTTTTTAAATTCTTTCTGCAACTATGATTCATTTTTTATTCATTTATTCATTTATTTATTTATTTATTTACTTACTTACTTACTTATTTATTTATTCACTTTACATCTTGAGGCCCTCGTCTTCCTCTTTCAGACCCCCTGTCAGAACTCTC